AAAAAAAAAAAAAAGTTTTGTACATGGTATTTATGAGTACAGACTAGACAGTTACGGCTGAATGGCCATAAATCATTAGGATCAAAAAAACTCCAGTGGAGAGTTCACTTCCCCACACAAACCCTTCAGGGCTTCTCCTGGATTTGAATGATTCAAAAGCAGAAGAGACAAGGGCAGGCACGTTGCTCAGGATTCTACCCTCCTTCTGCCTTTCCTCTATTCTCCCAGGACAGACTATGTGAAGAATCGAGCAGTGACAAAGGGATAATCCAGTTCATTGTGGTACCAAGGAAGTAACACCAACCAACCCAACAAAAGTGAACCCTCAAACTTCAAACACAAAACCCCTTTGCATCCTTCACCTAGAAAAGGGAACGGCCTAAGGGGCCTGGAAGACTTAAGTAGCTTTAGGGACACCAAAAGGAAAAGTCAGGTGGCCTATCTGGTTTGGGGAGGGGCATGGTTATAAGGGGAAGGGGAAATGTCTAGGACTATCCCCACAGCAGCCCGGCCCAGACACCCAGCCTCCTCCTAGAAACTGTTTCTGAACAAACACAGAAGCATAGCCATCCCTGACACATGACTGAGATAGTGCTCTCTCAGTCAGCACTAACAGATGTTCTAATCCTGTTGTCTGTGAACAACGCAAATGTTGATTTAATTCAGGCTTAAAGTCTATTTCCAAATCTTTCTGCTGGAACTATTCCTAACGTGGATTGCAAGCTCCCCAGGATAGAAACAAGGTCATCTTTATTGCCCTTTAGAAGAAAAGGCACAAAAAGTGATGGCTTGAACCTCAGGTCTGATAGTGACAGAGGACACTAAACTATCTTTTGCCCAAGCCTTACCACTGGCCCAAATAAACCCGACCTTCATGGAGTGATTGGACAGGTTTCAGTTTTCCCTCTTTCCCCTATCTGCCCCTCGGAGAGTCTACTGCCACTTAGAGAAACAGCTAAAACATGAATAGTGAGATCCAAGAAAAAAGATACATCTACTTCTGAGAAGACAAAGAAGACCCCCACCTATGGCTTTAAGAACACAGTCCACAGGCTGGAGAGCTGGGCACCATGTGTTTACAGCATGATATAGTGGAAAAATCAGGGGTTTGAATCCTAATTCAGCAATTGGGAACCGTACTTTACCATTCTGAACTTAACTTTTCTCACCTGTAAAACGCAAATGAGAATCAGCTATCTTGGGCTGCGCCTGTGGCTCAGTGGGTAGGGCGCCAGCCCCGTATACCGAGGGTGGCGGGTTCAAACCCGGCCCCAGCCAAACGGCAACAAAAAAATAGCCAGGCATTGTGGTGGGTGCTGTAGTCCCAGCTACTCCGGAGGCTGAGGCAAGAGAATCGCCTAAGCCCAGGATTCGGAGGTTGCTGTGAGCTGTGTGAAGCCACGGCACTCTACCGAGAGCAATAAAGTGAGACTCTTGTCTTTACAAAAAAAGAAAAGAACCAGCTATCTTCCGTACAGTTGCTAAGAGGATCAGCAAAAGTATGCCAAGATGCCACCCACTGCACAGGCACGGGACACAAACATGGCTCCACCAGCTTGGAGCTTTGGACCAGTAACAGAAACAGAAGATTGACAAGGCAATTACAATGCCATGTGATAACAAAGGGAAATAACACAATGCTTGGAAATGGAAGCCATTAGTGCCATTTAAACCTTGACTATCTTGTCTATTGCCAAACAGTACTTGAGATAGCTCTTTTGTTTTCATCCATTGCAGCCTTACCATTTTTTCTTCCGCAGTTCTTTGCCTTTCATCCCATTAGGAGATTTTTCCATTCAAGCAAATGCTAAGCTGAAAGGCAGTGGTGTAGAGGAAAGAATATGTTCCAAAACACACTGGAAAATGGTTTTTTCCCCCAAGAGTGGCCACCATTGAAGTTTTTTTGTCCGAGACAGAGCCTCAAGCTGTCGCCCTAGGTAGAGTGCTATGGCATCACAGCTCACAGCAACCTCCAACTCTTGGGCTTGAACAATTCTCTTGCCTCAGCCTCCCAAGTAGCTGGGACTACAGGCACCCACCACAACACCAGGCTGTATTTTGGTTGTAGTTGTCATTGTTGTTTGGCAGGCCCGGGCTGAATTCGAACCCACCAGCTCTGGTGTATGTGGCTGGCTCCTTAGCCACTTGAGCTACAGGTGCCAAGCCTGGAGTTTTTCTACAGCATTATTCTCCTGTAGGGAAGGGCCAGATATCTGATTTTTTTTTTAAGTTCTGTTAGTGATCTTGTTAATATCCTCTGGTTGAGAATAGTGTCCTACACCCAATGGCTGCCTGGTGGGTTTCTCAATGCCAAATTCTCTCTTACAAGTATCCTAAGGTTTTCATTTATCCTTACAGTTAAAGTGAATAAATATAGTTTTTTTCTTTTCTTTTGTTTTTTTCTTAAATATAGTTATTTTTAAGGATGTAGAGATAACTGAAGAAAACCCTGCATACCACAAATCCCAGAGTTAGAAAAAAAATCAATCTTGGGCTATTTTCTAAGTTAAAAGCAATAAGGCCTTCAGCAATAAGGTATTTAAAGGAACAAGAGAACATTTATATTCATCTATCCCCAACAAGGCTCGGTAAAAATTTTCCACTAGTTGCCCAAGGCCAGTCTGGAAAACCACCTACCTGAAAAAACCACTTATGAGCAATTCTACTTCTTTGTGGGTCCTTAGATACTTTTCATTAGCAATCCGAGTCTGAATCTGGGAAACAAAAGCAAAGCGTCAGGTCACTCTCGCTCCGTGAAGTGCCAGATTCAGGAATCAACCCCCAGAGGTGTGAAGGGCTGGGAGGCTGCAGGTGTGAGAGGGGGGTTTTCTTGGGATGCTTAAATTTTGAGCCGCCCCTCTACTTATAGATGCTGAATCTGAGGCCCCCTGCTCAGGACTAGGGGACTTAACTGAGGTGGGATCCCGACCGTCGGTAAGTTCTTGTCTGTGTCTAACTTGATGTATCTGGCAGTAATTTCGGCCCATTTCTCTGGCCTGACCCGGACTTCAGTTCTTCCGGCACTTTCAGAAGCCAGTCCAGCCCTGCTTTGGCCCAGCAGCCGGGTGGGGGTGGGGAAAGCTTGTATCCTGTTTATCCGATCCCCTTCTCTCGGCGGGGCCCCTGTCCTGGGCGTAAGGACTGCACTTAGATGGAGGTGGGCGCACCCACCTTGAAGTCTCGCAGCTGCTCCAGCTGCGCGGGACTCAGCGTCCCAGGGTCTGACTCCAGCAGCTCGCCTTGCGGCGTCGCCATCTTACAGCGGTCGTCAAGGCGACGGTCCGTTGGCTAGGGAGGCCCCGCCCCGGCCCCGCCCCCGGAGTTCGGCCCCCGGAGTCCGGCCCCCGGAGTCCGGCCCCTGGCCCCCGTCAGTGATGGAGCGGAACTCGGAGAGTCGTTCAGTAAGGCTCTCCTTTCCCGGATTTGGGGGCTGATTTCTGGGCTTCAATGTATATTGAATGAGCCCTTGCTTTTTACCCCACTCAACCCCAAGTAGTTTTTTCCTTAGGTCTAGAACAAAACAGGAAAAGGGGTTCCTAAGATAGGGAACCCAGAATCAAGTTCCTGACTCTCTCACTTGGGCAGAAGTTAAAGGAAACCTAGTGCTGGGAGAATCCAGGCTTCCTTGTTTTCTACCAGCTGAGAAGGCAGCCTTTCCACCTGTCCTGTAGTCTCTCAGTGGACTGCCTCCATCCTTCCCAACAAAGACTGAGGAAAAGTCTTGGATTCTTAAAACAACATGAAAGCACCCCAGAGCGCTCAGAGTAAACTGAGTTTTACAAAGGAAGGAACTTTCTCAGACTAAAGATGCTGGAAAGGACCTGGGGACATCCTGCAAGAATTTCCCCTCTTGGACTGAATTTCTTGTGGATTAATTTTCTCTTCACCCTGGGCTCCTCATCAATTCTAAATTATTTTCTCCCACTTCCAATTGAATAGGAGAGGAGAAAGGGAATTGGTTTTCAAGATTGTTCTTCTAATACTTAATTAAGAATGGAAAATGAAACAGAAAGCCAGAGAGCTGAAAATAGTCTCTGGCTAAGGGCAGAAAGCTGTCTTATCAATATACACATGCAGAGATTCTTCTATCCTACAGAGACAGTACTCAGCAGAGGCCTTCTGAGAAGCAGAAGAGGACCCAAACCAAAGAGCCCGTCTTTCAGGTTTGTGAACAACTGCTCCCAGGAGCAAGGAAATAGCGTGAGAAACAAGCTCAGCATTAGGCCATGGCCTTGGAGGGGTTCCTCAATGGACCGCCTCTATTCTTACCAACAAAGACTGAGGAAAAATAAGTGAAAACATTGGCAGTTCCCAAGCCAGGGAAGACCACAAGAGGTTAATCAGGTAGAGGACTGCAAGCCTCTGCACATCCCTGCCGGTGATCCTTTGGGTTGTTTGTCAGTTTTTTAGGAGAGAGTTAATAGAGTGAGAGGTAGATAAGCTGAACATCTGTCAGAAGGAGCTTTGTTGTTGTTGTTGTTGTTGTTGTTTTCTGGCAGAAGCAGAGGTTAACCAGAGATGGTAGTTCCTCTTGGCCAAGACCTGTCTCTCCCCCCCACACACCCCCAAGAGAAGCTAGTAGTGGAACCTCTAGAGCTGCACCTGCACATATGGTTACCTTGAGCCATCTATGCCACTTGAAATGTGGCTGTAAGTGTTAATGTATTAGAAATATAAAATACTCACTGGATTTTGAGGACTTCATATACAAAAATAACATCAAACATTTCATTAATAATTTTATACTGATTACATGTTTAAACAGTATTGTATTAAATTTATTGTAATAAAATGCATTAGTAAAAGTAACTTCCTATTTCTTTTTACTTTTGTAATGTGGCCATTAGAAATTTAAAAATTGGACTCGGCACCTGTGGCTCAGTGGTTAGGGCGCCAGTCACATACACAGGGGCTGGGGACTTTGAAACTGGCCAGGATCTGCCACAACAATGACAACTACAACAACCAAAAAAATTAGCCAGGTGTTGTGGTGGGCACCTGTAGTCCCAGCTACTTGGGAGGCTGAAGCAAGAGAATCACTTAAGCCCAAGAATTTGAGTTTGCTGTGAGCCGTGACACCAAGGCACTCTACCAAGGGTGACATAGTGAGACTCTGTCTCGAAAAAAAAAAAAAAAAGAAAAATTTAAAAATCGGGGCCAGGCACAGGGGCTCATGCCTGTAAAGCCTCTCTGAGAGGCTAAGGTGGGTAGATTGCCTGAGCACACAGGTTTGAGACCAGCCTGAGCAAGAGCAAGAACTTGTCTCTGAAAATAGCTGAGCATTGGCTCGGCGCCTATAGCTCAGCAGTTAGGGCACCAGCCACATACACCAGAGCTGGCAGATTCGAATCCAGCCCGGGCCTGCCAAACAACAACAACCAAATAAATAAATAAATAAATAACCGGGCGTTGTGGTGGGCACCTGTAAGAGAATCACTTAAGCCCCAGAGTTTGAGGTTGCTGTGAGCTGTGACATCACAGTACTCTACCAAGGGCGATATAGTGAGACTTTGTCTCAAAAAAAAAAAAAAGCTTGTGGCAGGTGCCTATAGTCCCAGCTACTTGGGAGGTTGAGGCAAAAGAATTGCTTGAGCCAGCTTGGTGCCTGTGGCTCAAGTGGCTAAGGCACTAGCCACATACACCTAAGGTGGCGAGTTTGAATCCAGCCCAGGCCTGCCAAACAACAATGATGGCTGCAACCAAAAAAAAAAATAGCCAGGTGTTGTGGTGGGTGCCTGTGGTCCCAGCTACTTGGGAGGCTGAGGCAGGAGACTCGCTTGAGCCCAGGAGTTGGAGGTTGCTGTGAGCTGTGATGCCACGGCACCCTACCCAGGGGGACAGCTTGAGGCTCTGTCTCAAAAAAAAAAAAAGAATTGCTTGAGCCCAAGAGTTTGAGGTTGCTGTGAGCTATGACACCATGGCTCTCTACCAATGGCAAGTGAGACTCTGTCTGAAAAAAAATTTAAAAATTATATATGTAGCTTGTATTATATTAGACAGTGCTAGAATCTACACATACACCTCAAATAATTCATGTCCTCCTTCTGCTAGTCTATGATCTTTTCATACTTTGAGAAACAGCAAGTTTTTCCTGACTTATCACATCCTGTGGCCTGAATACCCATGTGTGAGAGAGACTGCTTTTATTTTCTGATGGCATTTCAGTACTAACTGTTACATACTGTGTTGGCCCATGTTACTCTCCACTTGAGGTGGAAACCAAATTCTCATAAATCCTGCTGCATATGTCTTTTATTCCCTATTCAGTCAGTGAAGGCAGTAGGGAAGAGTTGACTGTGTTCATACATTCCACCACATTTTGCCCTTTCTGAAAAATATCCCAATTATCCAGCATTTCTCATTTCCTAAGAATCTAAAACCAGGATCAGAGCTGTCCCTTCAGGAGTGAAATAATCTCTTTATGTAGGGCAATGTAGCATTGACTACAGCGGAATAAGAAAGAGAGTGAGCTTGGGGTTAGTGGGCAGAGAAAGTGTCTTGAAGGAATTAAGGCTTGGAAGCCTCATTCCTACCTGGAAAGAAACTCCACAGAATGGGCATTTGACTCATTGAGTATTTTTCCCTAGTCTTTTTACTTTTTTTTTTTTTTTTTTTTTTGCAATTTTTGGCTAGGGCTGGGTTTGAACCCACCACCTCAGACATATGGGACCAGCGCCCTACTCCTTTGAGCCACAGGTGCCGCCCTTTTCTCTAGTCTTTTTTAAATAGTCTTTTATATTTATTCTTTTTTTTTTTATTTTGAGATAGAGTCTCACTCTGTTGTCCTGTGTTGAGTGCAGTGGCATCATCATAGCTCACAGCAACCTTAAACTCTTGGGCTCAAGTGATCCTCTTGTCTCAGCCTCCCGGGTAACTGGAACCACAGGTGCCTGCCACAACACCCAGCTAATTTCTCTGTTTTTAGTAGAAACAAGATCTCACTCTTTCTCAGGCTGATCTTAAACTCCTGAACTCAAACAATCTACCCATCTTGGCCTCCCAGAATGCTGGGATTATAGGCATGAGCCATGGCACCTAGCCTTTTTCCCAAATCTTTACTTCACAAGGCTCCCATCCCCCATAGCCTGAAAGGATATTAGACACGTGTCACAGTCACTCAGCAAGGAGGATCTGATGAGGGCTCCCACCTCTTCTCCACTAAACCCTACGTCTCTCAGATTGACGCCTTCAATCCAGGAACCACAAACTAAGGGTTTGATTAGAGGAATTTTGCAGCTTGCAGCTGTCTCCTCAATACTGATTGGGAGGAGGAGTGAGGGGAGTTCATTGTAATTCATCTTTGCAAATGTTTAATATTTCAATTAATATGATTAGCCCCAAGCTGGAATGAGCGGCAGGGCGGCAGATCTGCTGAGAAGACACAGAGTAATGAAATCAACCAGGCCATGGGGTCTTTCCCTTCTCTACCCTCAGAGAATGTGATCTGTTTAGCATCTCCATAAATACCAAGATCAGATTAGAAGGCAAGAAAAGGGGAGGATGGGGTTGTGTGTGGAAAGTTACTTTCAGAATGTAGTTGCCCTTCTTGATTCCCTGCACTGCCATCACATCTTCTAAGCACCTCCTCCCAGGCTTCTAGTACCTCCCCCCAGCCCATCCCTGCTTAGGGGACCCCACTGGGAGGATCTGGGCATCCACATGGTGAAGTATAATCAAGTCTACTCACACACACTTTACTCAAACACACATACCTGCCACAGCGTGTCTCCAGGCCCCAGAAACCCAGACTAAGGAAGGAAGGTGGTCAACAAAGAATTAAGCAGTGGAGAGAAGGACCCTTTCCCAGGCTTTAAATGAAGACAGAAGAGGAAGAAGGCCAGGCTTAGTCATTGCCCCCATCCCCAAGAGGAATGTTTGACATGGGAGTTATACCTGTGGACTGAGCCAGGCTGCTTGGTCTCCAATACCAGCTAGACCTCTTTCTGTCTGTGTGGCTTTGTGCAAATTATTTAATCTCTCTGTAGTCTTGATTTCCTCATCTCTACTTGGCAATAATGATAGCATCCACTATCTATCATTACAGGGGGATGATGAGGGCTTATGGGGTAAGTAAGTTCAAAGCACTTGAAACAATGCCTGAGACACTTCAAGAGCCACTAACTACTATTATTTCCCTTCCAGAAAAACAGCCTGCTTGCTGTGATACTTTAGGAATGGAGGCTATTGGGATTCTGTTGGGACACATTTGAGAGACCCCAGTGCCACTGTGGAGTCATCAGCCCAACCCCGGGGGTGAAGAAGGGAATGGCAGGAAGGTCATGACCCCTCCTCCCGCTATAGAAAGCCAGGGTTGCCACTTCCACGGAGGTGCCATGTCAGCAGACACCGCCTGCCTTGAGGAGGCGCTCTGAGCCTGCCAAGACATGGAGGGATCCAGAGAAGTATCGTTGTTTAGGGGAGTAATGGCCCCCAAATGTGCTTTTCCCATTCCTATCTGACTCAATTAGAGAGTCTCACTCAAGTAACCCAACTGAAAAGAAAAGCCAAGGAAGGAGCGACTGGGTTCCTGTGTCCTAATGGGGACTGACAGCTGTGTTCTTCTAACTGCAGGAATCAGTCATCGGCTCTCGTCAGAGGTTCTTTGCATGAAGCGTGGTAAGCACCTCCTATACACGAACAAGACACGGTGCTAGACGCCGTGAACAGAAGAAAACTGAATTAAACGCTGTCTTGGTCTTCAAGGAGCTTCCAAGTGAGAGCGCCCGCCGCCGCGGCCGCCTGCGCCGCTGCCCACGCGTACACACACTAACCCCCCAGAGGGAGAGAAGGGGGCGTCAGCAAATGCCAGAAAGCTATAGTTTTTTCCTGGTTCCTTTTCTGGAAATTTTACAGTTCTCTTTTTGCACTCATCTCACCCTGCTCTGCTTTTCCCAACCTCCTTTTCCATTTTCCCTCTCGGAGTCTTTTCCGCTCTTTCCATCCCAGACTGTGACCTGCTCCCTTCTACATCTCCCACCTCCCCTTCAACCTGTCAAATTGTCCCACTCCCATTTTCTTTTCCTATATTTCTTTCCCTGACCCTCCCTACTCTCGGGTTCTCCAGATGTGGGGCTCCCCATATGCCGAGCTCCCCTCTCCCCACCCCCCGCCCCCATCTCCTGAGGCTTCTCTTCCAGCACCGGGGACAGCTCCAGCCCCCGGAACAATGGACCCCACTTTAGGGCTCCTCTGTAAATTCTCCATCTTAGTGCCTTGGCCAACTCCTGATTGAGGAGTCAGATGGGGGAAGGCTTGTTATCAACAGGAAGAGCTGCTCTTCTGGGGGCGGGAAGGGAGTCTGGGAGGATGGAGATAGAAAGAGGGCGTGGCTCGTGACTGTATTGTGCGTCCCTCTCCAGGGTAGAGAATTTGTATTCCACCCCTGAGACTGACATCACTGATGTCAGGGGAAAGGAGGTGGGAGTGGGGAGGGGGTGTGGAGGGGGGAGGTTTTTGTTGAGGAGAGCGCAGCCGGAGAGCAGAGCTCCGGGACCCAGGTGACCGGGAAAGCAGGCAGCCCCGCGGCAGGAGCGGCCAGCAACAACCCAGGCCCGGGGACCGGGGTGGGGTGGGAGGGGGGCTAAGGGGAGGACCTGAAGGGGGGCGGCAGGGCAAAAGGGACCCCCGGAGCCCTGCCGCCATCAGAGATCAAGCATCTGGCATCAGGGATCTTCAGACCCAGGAGAAGGATCAGCCACAGGGGAGGTGTCCTCCCCAGGGAAGTCAACGAGAGAGCCTGCCCCCCCTAGAGCCGTCAGGAGTGGGCCCCTCATTGACGCTGCTGGCAACAACATCAGGCCCCTTAACCCCTCAATCTCCTTCCTATCACCCTCCTTAAGCCCCTTTCTCTTCTCCAGCACTTGTCTCAGCCCCCAGTTCCCAGCCCTCTGACCCCCCACGCCCTGCTAACACCTAACCTTCCAGGTCTTGGCCATACTGAGCCCTATCCTAGGATATTTGCCACATCTCTGGGAGGGAGATCATTTGTTTGGGCTATGCCCCCTGGTGGCATGACAGTGTCTGCCTAGACCCCTAACCCTAGCCTCAACTCCCTGGGCCTCCTTTGTGCAAACAGCGCCCTCTTCTCAGTAGTGTGGCTGGGGGCCACAGGGAAAGCCAGCCCCAGCTGGGCCCCCGGCCCCCACCACTTGCCTCCTTGTTGGGCAGCTCCCCTTGGCTTTTGGGCCTCTCCCTGCTCCTCTCGGCCCCTCCTTCTGGGCCGCCTCAATGAAGGAGCCAGATGCCATCAAGCTGTTTGTGGGGCAGATCCCGAGACATCTGGAGGAAAAGGACCTGAAGCCCATCTTCGAACAGTTTGGTCGGATCTTTGAGCTGACTGTCATCAAGGACAAGTACACGGGGCTGCACAAGGGTGAGGGTCAGGCAGGCTGGGGAGACTGGGAGGAGGGGAGCCGGGATAAAGGGATAGAGGGGCTGGTGAGGGTTGATATGGATGGAGAAGAGCTCAGGGTTAGGAAGTGTAGATTAAAGAGCTGGAAGGGAACTCACTGGAGGGGCCAGAGAACTCCAGGGTAGAGGACTGAGGAGGGCCTCTTCTGGGTGAAGAGTTGTTAAATGGGTTGCAAAGATGTGGACCCCAGACATAGGAGGGGGGTGTTGATGTCATGAGAAGAACTCAAGAAAAAACAGGAACAAGAGAGCTGGTTTGGGAGATAGAGCTGGACAGACGTGTATGAGTGTGAGAACATGTGTGTGCGTGTGCGTGTGTGTGCGTGTGCATGTGTGTGCTTGTGTTGGGCGACACTAAGACTCTGAGCTACTTCAGATAATATTGGGGTGGGGATCAGGACATGGAATCATGTGCTCAACCTGGAAAAGAGTGGAGAAGGACTGGGCAGGTCAGGCCCAGGACTAAAGGGAGGGACCTCAGAAGCCGGGTGTGAAAGATACAGATTAGTAAAGCTCTGGGAACTGTAGGGGACTTGGAAAGTTCAGAGAGCTGAGGGAGGAGGGAGAATGCTCCTTAGGCCTATCCAAAGCTGGGGTGCTGGGAGCCAGGATTTGGAGAGCTCCATGGACTAGGGTCTGAGGGGCCACACTGCCTCCCAGGGAAAAGGCTCTTCCTGCTACCTGCTCTTCCCTTTCCTTCTGTTTCACTCTCAACCCTCCCCTTGCCTCTAGTGGAGTTGGGGAGAGATGAGGAAATGGGGAAAATGGAAGAGAAAGGTGCTGGTGACCAAGATGGAGGGAGGTGGAGGTACAGGAGAAAGGGGAAAGGGAGCAGCTAGGGAAGAGAGGGAGCTGCTGCCTGGGCTTGTCTAGAGATCACATGCCCCTTCTCTCCCCACACAAGGCCCCAGCTTCCTCTTCCCTCATCACCAGCATTAGGGCTTCCAGGTCTGTGCCCCACTTCTGGGGTAGAATGGCTACCCCTTGTCAGACTCCTTGCCACTCCAAAAGGCAGAGGATGGCAATAGACAGGCTGCTGTCTGGTGGGGGACTCACCCCGCCGCGGTATTTCTTTCCCTGCCCCTCTTCAGGATGTGCCTTCCTGACATACTGTGCCCGCGATTCAGCCCTGAAGGCCCAGAGTGCCCTGCACGAACAGAAGACACTTCCAGGGGTGAGTCCTGTCCTTTGCAGAGCCAGGAGGCTGAGAAGAGCCATAGAAGTGGCAGGGAACTCAGCACCTTCCCAAGACTCTGAGCACATTTTCCACCTCCTCTCAGAACCAGGAAGTCCCTCGTTCTAGCGTCCATCTTTCTTGCTGTAGGTGCATGCACTTCTTACCTGGAGAGAAGGAAAACAGCCATCCGAAGAGTAAACATGGCCTTTATAAGGAGCCCCTTCCCCACTGCCCAACTTGCTATGGGCAGTATGGGGTGGGAGTGTGGGGGAAAGACTCTGGACCACTAAGTGTGGGTCAGGGTGAGCAGGAGGCAACCAGGCACTCTTGTGGCTCTGGAGAGGAAGTCTAGAAATGCAGTCTGGGTGGCTGTGCCTACTGGCCTGAGAACAGGCAGCAGGCTGTCTGGACTGGCATCTCTGTGCTGGTTCTGAGCTCAGATGGGCTCCCCACATCTCCTAAAAGGGCCCTTGGAAAAGAGCCACAGGGCATCAGCAAAGAGCAAGGCTAATCTAGACTGGAAGTGAGCCTGGGGCAGTGAGCAAGGGCAGGCACTGTGAGGAGGCTTAGGATGGCCGCTGACATGGCCTCCCTCCTGCAAGGTCCTATCTCTTTGTTTCTTCTTCTCTTACGAACTGTTCTAAGCCTGGGCTGGCAAATGAAGGCAGGAATGAAAAATCTTAGACTGTCCCTCATCATGGAAGCTGCGGGGAGGACATTCCACTCCCCTTTGTTATCTTTTGCTTCTATTTTCTCCCAGACTATGAATCCCAGAAAATACTTCCTGAGATCTAACTCCATCCCCACCTTTGGCAAACATTTTCTCGGTAGGGTCTGGGTGCTAGACCCACATCAGGCCTCTGCTCCCACTCCCCTGTGGGAAGTGGAGAATGATATGGATCATCCATCTCTCCTCTTCCAGAGAGAGAAACAGACAAAACAGAGGAATCTAGGGAAAGGAATCTAGGAAAATCAGAGCTACTTGGGCCACCCGCAACTTCCAACCCTTCATATAGCCCTGACTCAGCCCTCCTCCTTGGCCTCAACCTTTGAGTACCGCTAGGAAAGCAAAACCACTGATTCCCCCCACAACTTATCCCAGGTGGTGACAAGAAAAGTCACTGCCCATCACAGCCCTAGGTAAGGGCCTATGCACACGTGTGAGCAGGGACCCAAGGCCTGTGTGGGTTTGTGCACACACAATGTGAGCTCCTGACAGGCCAGATGTGTGGGGGCGTGGGAATACACATGCTTGGGAAGCCTGGCCCCAAGGAGACCCAACTTTCTCTTCCCTCCTTTTCTCTGTGGAGGCTCTTCTCAAATGGACAATTTTCATCCCAAGTGCTGTCTGTCTTTTTCTGTTTGTCTCCTACCTCAGAGCCCTGCAAAAACCAGAGAGGTTGGGGGAACTTGGATGAAAGAGACGCCCTGGGGATGCCAGCTGGGCGTCTCCTTAGGGGCTGTGTCCCTTCAGCTGCCTGGCAGCTTGGGCAGAGCTTGTCCTGGGTGCAAAGAGGCACTGCCCCCCCCCCCTTTCTGGGGAAGCAGCCCAGGGTGGGATAAGGAAGAAGGCACCAGGTTAATAATTGTCTAGCCCTCCTCCAGAGCTCCCAGGTGACCTGAATTCTCCACTTTGCCCAGGGAATAGAATCTAGAGGGATCTGCCAGGGCTTCCACTAGGAAATGAGGGTTTTCATTCTCCAAGGAGACCCCCATACTAGAGGTTTGAGGGAGCAGACCCAGGACAGTTGAGGGAAGCAGATGTCTGAGACTAAGCCCTGCCTGACCCTTTGTCTCTCCCAGATCTTCTCCTGCCACCTGTCTTCCATCCCCAGTGTGTGTGTGTATGGTGTGTATACATGTGCATATACAGTGTGTGTGTACAGTATGTGTATATACAGTGTGTGTTTTGTGTGCACAGTGTGTGCATGTACAATGTGGTGTGAATATGGTGTGTGCATACAGTGTGTGTGCAGTGTATTTTCACTGCATGTGTGTGTACAGTATGTTAAGAGTGCGTGTACAGTGTGCAGTATGTGTGTGCAGTGTGTGTTTACCATGTATAGTGTGTGCAGTGCATGCACAACGTGGTGTGTACAGTGTGTGTACTGTGTGCATGTGTTGTGTGGACAGTGAGTGTACAGCATATGCAGTGTGTGTGTAGCATGTGTAAAGTGTGTGTATACAGTGTGCAATGGTGTAGTGTGTGCAGTGTGTGTACAGCACGTAGTGTGTACAGTGTGTGCAGTGTGTGTACAGCATGTAGTGTGTACAGCATGTGCAGTGTGTGTACAGCATGTAGCGTGTACAGCGTGTGCAGTGTGTGTACAGCATGTACAGTGTATTACAGAGTGCAGTGTGTGTACAGTGTGTAGTGTACAGCATGTAGTGTGTACAGTGTGTGTGTTGTGTGTGTTACAGTGTGCAGTGTGTGTACAGTGGGTGCAGTGTGTACAGTGTGTAGTGTACAGCGTGTGCAATGTGTACAGTGTGTGCGTTGTGTGTGGTACAGAGTGCAGTGTGTGTACAGTGGGTGCAGTGTGTACAGTGTGTAGTGTACAGCGTGTGCAATGTGTGTACAGCATGTACAGTGTGTTAGAGTGCAGTGTGTGTACAGTGGGTGCAGTGTGTGTACAGTGTGTTGGCTCCAGCATGATTGCGTTGGGAAGTTCTTCTCGTTGTCTAACAACCTCCAGACCATCCTCCTGCAAGTGTTTTGAAGGGGGGCATCCGGCCTTCTCTCCTTACTCCCCATCATTATCACTTGGAATCTAGAAGGTACAGCCGTCTTAGGGTGATGTCTTGGGCTACAGAGGGAAAAAATAGGGCTGAGCCTATTTCCTCTTCTCTCCCCTAAGAGTTCTAGGGAGTCCCTCTGCCATAGATGCCTGGATTTGTCCTGTGAGCAAGGAATGGCCTGCTGGAGGCAGTGGTATGAGGGATGTAGTGTGTCTGGCCTACCCTTCCCCCTTCACTCTGGACCAAAACCCCTCTGGGCACGTGGGCCTTCACTGCTAACTTGCAGCTGGAAATGTGGATTCTGGTCTCCTGGAAGGGCATGGGCATGGTCTGAGATGCCAGAAACAAGTGTAGAGCCAGGAGTGGAAGGGCCCCAGGCCTGTGCCTTAAAGAGAGTTAAATTTTGTATGAACTCTTCTTGGAAATGGGGTTTTTGCCATTGGTGAGAAGGACAAGGACCTTAAAAGCAATCTGCTGGCTGAGGTTGCTCAGCCACACTAGTTGGGGTATAAATAGCCCCTTCTTCTTTGGGAGGCCCTAGGGAGGGCTTGTCGCCTTGTGTGTAGTAGCTAGGGAAGAGAGGTGTCGGCGCCTGGTTGCCAGGTAAACAGGGCACAGCTGGACTCAGGGGAGGGGGCAGGTGTGCCCAGCAGAGCTAACAAAGCCTGAGCTTCCCACAGGAAGTGCCAGGCCAAGGAGGTGGCCGGGGACAAGCACTGGGGAACCAAGAAGTCCTGTCTGTGAAGGCAGGGAGAGCATCCTTTCAACACAGTCCTTGCTGTGCTCTGTACACTGGTGTGTGTCTTTGTGCAAACCCACTTCAGCTGTGGGTATTTATTGATATGCTATTTTTGTGCATGGGAGCCTGAGCAGGGAGGAAACCGCATCCTTTCTCTCTGGGTCTCCCATCTCCAACTGAAGCAGCAAATCCCCCAAGGGCCTTTGGGGGGGGATAGTACCAAGCATAAGAATTCCCATGACACTGGGACCATGGTTCTAATTCTACCTCTCCTGGGGTGGGGTGGAGGTGGGTGCCTGGCTGCTGAGGAGCCTGCAAGGGAATTTCCTATGGCTGCAGTCTACAGTACAGAAGAGCTGAGTGGCCACTAGCCCAGAAGTGGCTGACCCCTGTGCTGTGCCTTGCACACACACACACACACACACATGCATACATACACACTCCTAAGGAGATTGAGCCTTGGAGTGGATAATCCCAGATTGGTGGGTGATAACGTCAGGGGGAGGGGAGATTGGCTGGAGGATTTGTGTGACTATTACCCTCCCTCCCCACCAGCTGCTCTCAGATCCAGATACCCAGGAGGTGTAGCCCTGGGCAAAGAGCACTAGTCAAGGTGGGGCTTAGATCTGACCCATGCTGGGACTGGCAGAGCTGGCCTGCACTGACTGGCATGATGGGAAACCTGGGGAGAGGGTCCAGTGTGAGGAGGGCAGGGGCAACTGTTACTCTGCACCCCTCTGTGTTGAGGAATGCCACAAGAGTTCCAAATGCTGCAGAGCACTGGCAACGCCCTCACCAGACCACCCCCTTGTCTCATAGATGAGGAATTTGTCTCCCAATGGATACAAGTGGTATCCAAGTCTGAGGTCACCAGCTAGTGAGTGGCAGGGGAGGACCCGTCCTTGAACCCAGGTTTCCTGACTCCTAGTCCAGTGCCTTTCCTGAGGGCGCCTCAAGACAGAAGTGAATGGTGTGACTTTGACAATAGTAGGACTGCTTTGCCACCAGAAGAGTGGGGCATCCAGGTGAGGTCCTAGCAGTCAAAGTCTTCAATAGTAACAATAGTAAAATACTTTCCATTTCTAGAGACTGAGTTCTTCTCCTTTTCCAGTTCCCTTAGTGCTGTCTGCCCTGGTTAAGGAAGTCAACCTGCGGGAGGAATTTCTAAGTCCTCTCCTCGGACAAGAGTGGAGAGTGGTACTAGGAACTTGGTAGGGGTCAGGGAGAAGTTAGAGCTCTGGAGGGCTTCCGTGCACAGGACAAATTCTGAGGGAGGACAGGAACAGTGTCTCTATGTTTAGAACTCTCCAGACACCAAGGATTTGCTCTGGAGGAGAGAGGCAGAAGGCCAGTATGGCCCCTGCAGGCCCCTGCAAGCATCCCTCAGGAACTGGGAAGCTTTCTCGGCCCCTCCCCCACCTCCCAGCCCCCACCAAATCCTCTATCCCCCTAGGCCCCCGGCATACCCTGTTCCCACCCCCCCCAACTCCTTCTCTGGTTGTGTGGAGCAGCAGAAGTGATGACGTCACCACGGTCGCCAGGGAGACAGGGACGGATAAATCAGGCTGAGTGGGCGGTTGCCATGGTGCGCATTCTCTTGTTGCCACGGAGACTGGGCATCTGCTCCCTTTGTGCTGCCCAAGTGCCTTCCCCCTGGGGTCAAGGGGTGTAGGGGGCAGATAGAGAGGTAGACACAGCACTAGGGTCAGAAGAAAGTCCAGGCCTCTACGGAGTCTCCCTCAGTCTAGAGTCCTCCTGGGGCTTCTTCATGGGGTGGCCTCTGTGCTCCCATTTTGTAGAATTGAGGCAGCTCTTACTAAACAGCCCCTTGGTTGGGCTGTCTCAGGCGTTGGTTCCTGTGGGCAGGCCTCTGCTCCCCCAGGAGAGCAGCACATATCCCTGGCCGAGTTGCCTGGGACCCGATCTGAGCCTGGAGCTGAGCCCCGTGAGCATCTTCCCTACATCCTCTCTGCCTGCTGCCTCTGGTCCCCTCAGGCCCTAACCCTAATGCATGGCGGGCCCATTCCTTCCTTCCCAATAGGAACTTAGAGGCATCCAGAGGAGAGCCCAGCAGCCGCCTTCTCTTCTCTCTTTTAGATGAACAGGCCGATTCAGGTCAAGCCCGCCGACAGCGAGAGCCGAGGAGGTAGGTTTTGTACCTCTAGACTCAGTCCCTTTCCTCCCTACCTCAGGCCCAGGGCTTTAAGTAGCTGAGGGGAAGCCTTTCTTGCAGAAGAAAATCTGACAATTCTGAAGAGCTCCCAGTTAAGGTGAGGAAAGGAGTCCTTGTGACCAGACAGTGTGAGATCTGTACCATTGTAGAGACAGCAAAACTGAGGCTCCAAGTGCAAGTCCTTCAGAGCTGGGAGGAGGACTCTGCAACTGTACTCATTCCCCAGCCATCACCCCTCTCACACCCAGGAGCCAGGGGCCCAAGGGTGGGGAAGCAGAGTCTGAGGCTCCCGGAGGAGTGGCCACTGAGTGCTGTGAGAGCAGTCAGCAGGCCCTGCACACACTCTCGTCCTGTGCCTATCCCCAGAAGACCGGAAGCTCTTCGTGGGGATGCTCGGGAAGCAGCAGACAGATGAGGACGTCCGGAAGATGTTCGAGCCTTTTGGGACCATAGACGAGTGCACTGTGCTCCGGGGGCCGGACGGCACCAGCAAAGGTAGCAGCCCACAGGCCTCTCCCTATGGGACCCTCCCCACTGGCCCCCTAGGCCCTGGGTGCCCCTGTGCAGCCCTGGGAATGGGGACTCACCCTTCCTCTTCCACATTCACCTCTCCAGGCTGTGCCTTTGTGAAGTTCCAGACCCACGCAGAGGCCCAGGCGGCCATCAACACCCTTCACAGCAGCCGGACCCTGCCGGTGAGCCCTGCCCCTGCCCCTCAGGCCTTTCCTTACCCTGGCCCAGCACCAGTCGTGGCACAGAGGGGCATTTTACTCAGGATAGGGTCTTGGAATTTACTGAAAAGAAATGTCCTGGCAGAAGAAAAAAACTGCTCAGGGACATCCTCCTTTTTCAAGTACCATTCCCCAGCCCTCATTCCCATATGTGTCCTTCATCTCCAGGGCAAATTCCCAGACCTCTGTGACACCTGCCTCCATTCCTCTGCCTTCCCTTCCCCTCCCCCACCCTACCTTCCTATACCCCCATCTCTTTTGCTGGGCCATCAGGACACTTAAGGCTTCTATGTTTATTCTGTTTCCCTGTACATTAACATAGGGTCAGTGACTGCACGCCTGGGATCCCCAGAAAAGTCAGCCTCCGAATTGGAACTAGCTGGCTCAGGAGGTCCACTCCCTGTCACTCGATGTTCCCCAGCAAACACCCTTGTCTAGAGAACTGTGTTGGCCGCCCTAGGCCCCTTCCAGCTTCGAGATTCTATAACAATCCTTGCAAATGATCCAGTTTGGTTTTTATTCAGCTCAGGCTGGTATTAAAATTTGAGGCTGTGTCCCCTGAGCACATCATGGTGACTAGGGGGTGGGGCGGGAGTCATGGTAAGTGAGGTTGTGGAACTTCAAGGCAGGACCAGCCCAAGATGAAGCATTTGCTGTGGCTGAGACTGTGGGGACAGTATCCAGCTCAGAGTCTCATAGAGAAGCCACTGATGTCCTTCCTTCCCATGCTGGTAGGCCTTCCACTTCTCAAGCACATGCCTTTACAGCCCTCCATCTCTCCTAGCCTATCTGTGTGCCACCAAGAGGAAAGGGTGGGATTAAAATCTCCCCATCTGACATAGACAAAATGATGGCTGCCATCCCAAAGAGGCCAAGCTGTGCCATATTCTGAGGGCTCTGGGGAGCAGCAACCCTGACTCTACCTCTGACCTGCGTGTGGGGCCTGTGCCCAGGGTGCCTCGTCCAGTCTGGTGGTGAAGTTCGCTGACACAGAGAAGGAGCGAGGTCTCCGCCGGATGCAGCAAGTGGCCACCCAGCTTGGCATGTTCAGCCCTATTGCCCTCCAGTTTGGAGCCTACAGCGCCTACACCCAGGCCGTGAGCACTGCCTACCTTGTGTCCCTCCCTCCAGGGCCTGCTGTGTCCTGCCCCCACCTTCAACTGTCAAGGCCCAGGGCTAGGGGGAAGACAGGCAGGTCGGTGGGGGCCTAGTCCCATCTCCTTTCTCCCTGCCCAGCTGATGCAGCAGCAGGCAGCCCTGGTGGCGGCTCACAGTGCCTACCTCAGCCCCATGGCCACCATGGCCGCTGTGCAGATGCAGCACATGGCTGCCATCAACGCCAATGGCCTCATCGCCACCCCCATCACTCCATCCTCAGGTAAGGCCAGGAAGCGGGGCAGGGCATTATAGCAGGTGGGGGTGGGACGAACCCAACCAATGTCAGGGAGGCGGTGGGGCCAGGAGGGGCTGGAGTGCAGGGAGTGGCCTGCTTCCTCCCCACTGACTCCAACTTGCTGACTGGCTCTCTGCACCTATGTACGTCTTCTTCTCTGCTGTCTCTGCTGTCTCTGTCGCTTTCTCCTCCCCAGGAACCAGCACCCCTCCTGCCATCGCTGCCACGCCTGTCTCTGCCATCCCTGCTGCCCTGGGTGTCAACGGCTACAGCCCAGTGCCCACCCAGCCCACTGGGCAGCCTGCCCCTGATGCTTTGTATCCCAATGGGGTTCACCCCTACCCAGGTGGGGCTCTCTGCTTATCCACCCCTGCCCCAGTAACCAGCCAGGACTCACCTTCCCTCCCCAGCCTTCAGGGCTACCAGGTGCCTTCTCCTGCCCTGTTGCTCTGGCAGGGATGCTCCTTCCCATTCTCCTGATCAGGCACACTGACACTTAAGAGGGGTGAAGTCACTTGCCCAGAGTTGCACACCAGCCACAGACTCCAGTCTTCACAACACCTCTCCCCTTCCTCTTCCCACTGTTTTGTGCATTTCTACCTTCTCACTTTCATGCTCTATGCCCAGAGACTCTGTCCTTCTCCCTTGCCTAGCCTCTGCTCAGAGAGGCACCAGTGGGGCTCCCACTGTGTCCCAGGCCCACCCTTACGGTCTGTGCTGCTCTTCCCAGCCCAGAGTGCCGCAGCCCCCGTGGACCCCCTGCAGCAGGCCTACGCGGGGATGCAGCACTACACAGGTGAGGGGCCCAAGTGGGCCCTGCTCAGGGGGAAGGGATGGCAAGAGGGAAAGACAGAAACTGGGTCTGGACTTCCTGGCTCCCTGCAAGCTCCCACAGCTGTGCTGATTGGCCATACCTGTGAGGATGGTGAGGGTGGACCACAGGGGCAGTGCTCCTGGGGCTGGGAGACAGCTCCCTCCTGGTCTGCGCTGAGGGAAGGGAGACAGGGTTGGCTGGGAGGGCTCCGGAGTTGGAGAAACCCCAGCGGCTTGCTCTGCTCTTCCTGCCCAGCAGCCTACCCCGCAGCCTACAGCCTGGTTGCACCCGCGTTCCCGCAGCCCCCAGCCTTGGTTGCCCAGCAGCCCCCCCCACCTCCACAGCAGCAGCAGCAGCAGCAGCAGCAACAGCAGCAACAGCAGCAGCAGCAGCAGCAACAACAACAGCAGCAGCAAAGAGAAGGTGCTAGTCTGGGACAGGGTCAGAGCCGAGGCCTTCAGGGATGGGAAGGCCCCTGGTGTGGGATCAGGGACTCCTCATTGCCCTGCATGAAGCCCAGCTCTTGCCCATGTGTGGGGATGAAAACAAGTGGGGAGGCGGCCAGAGCCCTGGCCCACATTGCTGGGGACTGGCCCTGGAGGTCCCCGCAGGACCTCCTTTCCCTGGGACCTCTGCTCTTTCAGTTTGCATCTTCCCATGCTGAGCTCTTCCTTCTGCCTCTGCTGCCACCAGGCCCTGACGGCTGCAACATCTTTATCTACCACCTGCCCCAGGAGTTTACTGACTCAGAGATCCTTCAGATGTTTGTCCCCTTTGGCCACGTCATCTCAGCCAAGGTCTTTGTGGACCGGGCTACCAATCAGAGCAAATGTTTTGGTAAGAATACGAAGAACCATGGGTGGCACCTGTGGCTCAGTGAGTAGGTCGTCGGCCCCATGTACAGAGGGTGGTGGGTTTGAACCCTGCCCCCGCCAAACTGCAACAACAACAAAAATATAGCCGGGCATTGTGGCGGGCGCCTGTAGTCACAGCTACTTGGGAGGCTGAGGCATGAGAGAATCATCTAAGCCCAAGAGCTGGAGGTTGCTGTGAGCTGTGACGCCAAGGCACTCTACTGAGGGTGACAAAGTGAGACTCTGTCTCTGAAAAAGGAAAAAAAAAAGAATACTACAAACCGGCTCGGCGCCTAAAGCTCAACCGGCTAAGGCGCCAGCCACATACACCTAAGGTGGCAGGTTCGAATCCCCAGCCCAGACCCGCCAAACAACAATGACGGCTGCAACCAAAAAATAGCCGGGCGTTGTGGCGGGCGCCTATGGTCCCAGCTACTTGGGAGGCTGAGGCAGGAGACTCGCTTGAGCCCAGGAGTTGGAGGTTGCTGTGAGCTGTGATGCCATGGCACTCTACCCAGGGGGACAGCTTGAGGTGCTGTCTCAAAAAAAAACCAAACAAACAAACAAAAAAGAATACTACAAACCAAAAGACAAATTACTGCACATCTTTTTGCCAAATTCCAAATTAGGACAAGGTCTAATACATTTGAGGGTATCTGTGGTCACAATGGACCCAGTACTTGAAATCCTGATTATCTAAGAGTATGAAAGAACCATCTTTGACATACCCAACACCCCATCCTACTTTCTGCCCAGGCCTTCTCTTCTTCCAGCTTCATCTTTCGTCCCTAAGAACTGGCGAAATTCATTCTCCATGAGGTCTAAAATAGCCTCACCATCTGGAGATGTTTGGGAGGTTTTGGCTCCTTTCACATCTTTGAAAAGCTTCTTCAGGGGAGAAAGGAAACATTCTTATCTGCCCTGCTTCAGAAGCCATTTAGGGTCCGCATGAGGCAGTTTTGAAAAGACAGGTTCAGAGTTAGCCAGACTGAGGAAGTGGCCACCCTGCAAAGAATGCTGCAAAGAATGTCCCAGTCTGCATGAGAGGCTGGCCTGGATCCACTCACTCACTCTGTCAGTCATCAAATCCTCACTATGTGCAAGGTGGCCACCCAGGCACGTGGGACTCCTGGAGGAATTGGGGTAGTGCCGGGACACCAGAGCACAGGTCCTGGACTGTGTATAGGAGGGCGAGGGAGGGCTGAGCCAGGCGTGTGCCCCTCTCACCTCAGGCTTTGTGAGTTTTGACAATCCGGCCAGTGCCCAAGCTGCCATCCAGGCCATGAACGGTTTCCAGATCGGCATGAAGCGCCTCAAAGTCCAGTTAAAACGGCCTAAGGATGCCAACCGGCCCTACTGAGGGCTCCCAGGTGGGTCCTGCTCTTGACTTGTGCTCTCCTCTCCAGTCCCTGAATGCTGCACCTCAGTTGCTCTGCCCTGCCATCTTCCACCACCTCAGGGCTGCCCCCTAACTCTGGGCACTTGGAGCAGGAATCTGGGGCAGATTTTCAGTCATCCAAGTCATTTGCTTTCGCTCTTGCTCTCGTGTGCACATGTGCATGCACGCACACATGAACACATGCAAACATGGACACATGCAGCACAAGTACACATATGTACACACACGCAGCACATGCACGCACACACATACATACACGTAGACACACGCACGCTCACACACACGTGCACACTCTGACCTCAGAAAAAGCCAAGTGTGTACTCTGTGCACTCCCAGATTTCCACACCATCTGGTCTGTTTGTCTGGTCAGTGTCCATGTGTCTGTCTCTTTCTGGTTTTCCTTTTGGTTGGAGTGGAATTAGGGGAGTAGAGTGTTAGGGATAAGGGGGACTGGTTTAGGATACTGGCGGGTTGTATGATCTCCAGCTCTAGGAATCCCTGCTTTCCTGAGAAGTGGAGTGGTCAAGCCTTTGCTGCTTGGACGTCAGGTGATCTTTCTTATATCGCAGTGGACCCACAGGACAGCCTGGGGGATGCCCAAACTCTAGGTCTCTTGAGGAAGAGGTTGAAATATAGCACTCCTGGCTCAGCGCCTGTGGCTCAAGCAGCTAAGGTGCCAGCCACATACACCTAAGGTGGCGGGTTCGAATCCCCAGCCCGGGCCCGCCAAACAATGACGGCTGCAACTAAAAAATGGCCGGGCGTTGTGGCGGGCGCCTGTGGTCCCAGCTACTTGGGAGGCTGAGGCAGGAGACTCGCTTAAGCCCAGGAGTTGGAGGTTGCTGTGAGCTGTGATGCCACGGTACTCTACCCAGGGGGATAGCTTGAGGCTCCGTCTCAAAAAAAAAAAAAAAAAAAAGAAAGAAATATAGCACTCCCTGTGAATTTACTTACCAGGTTCCCTCCACCCTGCTGCCTGACACCATTTCAACCTCCTGGCCACAGAGCTGTGAGCCTTGGTTACTTTTGCATTATTTAATCTCCTTTGGACCAAACCCTTGAAAAAAACACAACCCAAGAAAAATACCCACATATTCTGTTTTTCCCCTTTCCCCCCAATCCTGGCTGCTTAACTCCCCCCACCTTGAGGGGCCCCCCAGCCCAGGGCCCGTGTCCATTGTCGGCCGAAGCCCCCATTCCTGGACCCCTGTAAGTTGCATGGAACGAGTGTGTTGTCTTTGGAGCTGATTGTTTGTTATTTGGGGAGGGGGCCGCGGAGGGAAGAGTCCCCCAAGCCCAAGGTCAGGGCCGGGGGCAGCTTGTGGGATGTGCTTGGTCAACAGTTGTTGGTGACTGTGGTCTGTGTTCTGTGCACTTTTCTCTTGCTTTCTCTGTTCCTTTCCAAAAAGGAATGAGGGCACGACCTAGGGGCTGGGGGCGGTTTCGCCACAGGAGACTCCATCCCGAAGCCCATGTCTGGGGTCCACCCTCCTTCTCTGTGGACGCCCCTCCTTTCCAGGTGTCTGCCTCCTCACACCTGTTCCCTGCTCCCAGTCCCCTCTGCCTGCTCCTGTCTCAGTTCTGTCTCTGCCTCCAGGTCTCTGTCTCTTCCAGTCTTTGTTTTTCTCAGGGACTATTGATGTCCTTCCTGATATCCTTTGGTTTCTTCTATCATCTGACCTTTTCTCCTGTGTCCTCCGTCCCTGCCCCTTACTCTCATGGCTTGGGGTGGAGGTTGCTAATGGGTCTGTTGGGACTCAGGCCTTTCTGATGATCTGCCTTCCTATCCTAGACACTCCCTTTGCTCCCTCACAAAGGCCAAAAGGGCACCTAGGAGGTAACAAGTCCTTGGGTCAGGGAAGCATAGCCACAGCCCTGCACAGGGCAGGGTACTGGGAGTGGGCCAGTGTCTTGTGCCCCCAGACACTCACCCACCCCAGGTGCCTCCCCTTCTCCAGGGCCTGTGACCCTCACCTCTGTCCTCTTCCCTGTGCTTCACACGTATTTCCTTCCTTTGCAGGTCTGGAGATCCCAGAGGAAGAGGCACCTTATACCCTCTTCCCCCAACTGGCCCCTGCCCTCTCTGCACATCTGCCCTAGGCTTTGATTGGGCTCTGGGGCAAAAGCTGCTTCATGGCCCTGGGGGCACAGGACACTGGCCAACTCCTAGCACCCTGCCTTTCTGCAGGGCTATGGCTATGCTTCCCTGGCTCCAAGGGCCTGTTTCCTCCCAGGTGCCCTTTTGGCCTTTGTGAAGGAGCTAGGAACAGGCTTGCAGGTTCTGGGGTATCTGCCTTCTGCTAGGGCTCCTGTGATGGGCCTTCTGCACCCAGTGTTTGTACTTGCCTCCCCCACCAGCCAGCCTGTTCTACCTGTACAGGCCCTGGGAGGACAGTGGAAGCCTCCACACACTCCCATCCCCTTGCTCCCAAGAGGGCTGCCAGAGGCTGGCTCTCATATTCCCTTCCACCCTCAGCTAGAGGTAGGATATCCCTGAATCCCGGGCTGCCAGCCCTAAAACTCACTGCCTCCCCCAAGGGCCCCCTCTAAGGAGGGTGTGGGGGAGCCCTGAGGGCTGCCTTTCCACCAGTCAGCCACAGAGACCCTTCTCCTTTCATGAGGAAAAGACCTCCCCCTGAGCCCCTAAAAATGTTTACAGTCTCTGCTGGTCTCCTCCGTGTAAATGCCACTGCCACCCGTGTGCTATCCAGCCCGCCCACCTGGCCGGAAGCTGCCGTCTCTCTCTTTCTGGGAGTTTAGACAATGTTGTCCTTGGATTTTTTCTCTCTCTCTTGATTTCTCCCTTTCCTATGGGGGCTAACTGGGCATTTGGGAGGAGGGATGTGGGGAGGGATAAAGGGGTTTATTACCTGATCTAGAGGTTTTAGGGACAAGAAAATGGGGTGGGGGTGGGAGCGGTACGGGAAGACTGGGGAGTCAGTTTGAGACAGTTCTTTATGCTTAACTTATTTATTTATTGTATTTTACTTTTAAAGAGTTGGTCTTTTCTGTCTAAATAAAGAGTTTAAAAGCATTAAATAAGAGTCTCGGAAGGTTGAGTGTAGGGGATTACTCCCTACCCACACTGGGCAAGGGGAGGGAGGAAAAAAAGAAAGGTTTGGGAAAGAAAACTATCAGGGAAGGCCTGGGATTGCTTTTGGGCAGCATCCAGGCCTTGCTTGTGGTTTCATGATATGGTCTTCAGTCTTTGGGGCTTAATTCTAGAACATTCTGCACAGCTGAGCACAGGATGAAGGGAGTAGGTGAGCCAGTCCTCCCCCTGGATCCGCCCTCTTCCTCTGGTGGCTGGGGACTTGTGTCTCATAATGCAGACCTGTTTCTGCACTGAGGCAAGCTCTCTGCAAGCCGCTGTTATCACCAGCTCTGTGCGTGGCTCTATCCTAGGCTCTCATTGTGCATTTCCTCATTTAACCTCTCAACAACCCTGTGAGGCAGGATATAATTTTATAGTCGGGGAAAAGGAGGTTTAAAAGTTAATTTACATACCTGGAATCACAAAGCCAGTAAGGGACAGCTGTAGAGTTGAACCAGTTTGTCAGACACCAAAGCCCATGACACTGTCTTCTCATCTGCTCTTTGACTTGAGGCAAAGATCCCAAGAAGTCAAGCAGAAGCCATGGCAGTGACCACTGCAGGCAGGAGGTTGACGCCTGTGCCCCGAGATACGCCAGCTCCTGCTTCCTCTGTATGAGCTGCATCAGGCAAGGCTCAGAAGGTCACCTGAGTGCGGGCTGCACTCCGTGGCAGGCAAGCCATTTGCTTCTGGGCTGCTACCCCACCCTCATTATGACCTTTCTCATACCTTGGCTCAGCTTCCAGTTCACATCTGGCTTCCAGACCGAGTTATGTGTAAATACCCACAATTCATCCCTCACTCTGCCCCATACTCATGCCTTTTCTTAAATGGTCTCAAATTAGGAATAGTTATAAAAAAAAGAAAAAAGCAAGGGCAGCGCCTGTGGCTCAGTGGGTGGGGTGCCGGCCCCATGTACCGAAGGTGGCAGGTTAAAACCCAGCCCTGGCCAAAGTGCAACAAAAAAATAGCCGGGTGTTGTGGCAGGTGCCTGTAGTCCCAGCTACTCAGGAGGCTGAGGCAAGAGAATCACCTAGGCCCAGGACTTGGGAAGTTGCTGTGAACTGTGTGATGCCACAGCACTCTACCAAGGGTGATAAGGTGAGACTCTCTCTACAAAAAGGAAAAAAAAAAGCAAAATGTGGAATACTTTGGAGGCATATCTTAGGACATCACTTCAGGGAAAAAAATGTCTCTTGGATTAGTAGAGATTAGGAATGGGACCTTACCCAGAAGAATCCAGTCAGGACTCTCAGCCAAGTAGATAGCATCTGAAATCTCACTTAAGCAGAGCTGTGGGTATACGGGTGTGCTCAGAGACAGAGGAAGAGTGTGCTTGGAAGGGGAGCAGCAGCCCTCAAGTCTCCCTTCAGAGGTGGAAGAGTGTGCTGAATGAAAGGGAAGCCAGCCATCAAATTTCCCTCAAGCTGTCCCACCTGCAGAACAGTTTCTGAGTCAGGAAAGAAAGCTGGAAAGTGGCTTTAAACCAAAGGGCATCTCCCAGAGTGATTCATGACCTTGTGGGTTCTCTCCTGGGAAGCCTCCCCTCCCCGGCATCTTCCCAAATCTCAGGAAGCACCTCAGTGTGGCAGCCCCTTCCGCATCACCAATGCCCACTTTCATTGTCTGTTTCTTCTAAAATCACCAAGTTATGTTCAAATGTTAATGGCAGCATAAAAAGAAGAGAAGGAAAATAACTTTTTTTGAGAGAGAGAGCCTCACTATGTCACCCTCAGTAGAGTACTCTGGCATCACAGCTCACAGCAACCTCAGACTCTTGGGCTTAAGCAATTCTCCTGCCTCAGCCTCCCAAGTAGCTGGGACTACAGGCGCCCACCACAATGCCCAGCTATTTTTTGTTGCAGTTGTCATTGTTGTTTAGCTGGCCCAGGCTGGGTTCAATCCTGCCAGCCTCAGTGTATGTGGCCAGAGCTGTAACCACTGTGCTACAGGTGCCGAGCTGGAAAATAACTTCTTAAGGCAGAAAACAAAGCTGACATGTTAACAGCAGGGATTAGGGGCAGACTTTCTGTTGTAGAAATGAAAACAGGCATTTAGGAAAATATCATTAATTAGGAGAGAGTTTAGGGAGACTAAGGTGAAAGAACATGGTAGGGAAAAAAACAGTCCAGAATAATTGCTTCAACATGTTCCCACCCCCCTTTCTATATACATATTATATATACACACATATATAAATGTGTCTCTATATGTGTGTGTGTGTATATACATATATATATGTACGGGTTTTTTTGAGACAGAATCTCACTCTGTCACCCTGTGTAGAATGCTATGGTGCCATGGCTCAGAGCAACCTCAAACTTTCTTGGGCTAAAGCAGTCTTCCTGCCTCAGCTTTCTGAGTAGGTGGGACTGCAGGTGCCTGCCACCACACCCGGCTAGTTTTTTTTTTTTCCTTCCTTCCTGGTCTTCCTTCTCTCTTTCCTTTTGTTTTTGTTTTTTTTGAGACAGAGCCTCAAGCTGTCCCCCTGGGTAGAGTGCCATGGCATCACAGCTCACAGCAACCTCCAACTCCTGGGCTCAAGCGAGTCTCCTGCCTCAGCCTCCAGTAGCTGGGACCACAGGCGCCCACCACAACACCTGGCTATTTTTTGGTTGCAGCTGTCATTGCTGTTTTGGCGGGTCCGGCTGGGGATTCGAACCTGCTACCTTAGGTTTATGTGGCTGGCGCCTTAGCCAGTTGAGCCACAGGGCCGAGCCTCTCTTTCTTTTCTTTGTTTCCTTCTTTCTTTCTTTTTCCCTCCCTCCTTTCTTTCTTTCTTTCTTCCATTCCTTCCTTCCTTCCTTCCTTTCTTTCTTGAGACACAATCTCACTTTGTCGCCCTGGTAGAGTGCCATGGTGTCATAGCTCACGGTAACCTCAAACTCTTGGACTTAAGTGATTCTCTTGCCTCAGTCTCCCAAGTAGCTGGAATTATAGGTGCCTGCCACAATGCCTGGCTATTTTTAGAGACTGGCTCTATTGGCTCAGGCTGGTCTCAAACTCATGAGCTCAAGCAATCCACCTGCCTTGGCCTCCCAGAGTGCTGGGATTACAGGCATGAACCACCGTGCCCTGCCCCCTTTATATTTTTCAAAGTTTGAAATGTACCTTTTCTTTTGGAGCTGGACCCTACTGGCTTGAAAGCCCCTTTGACATTCACAGTTTCCTTTGTCTTTTAATTCTTCTGCTAAAATTTCAAAGCCTTTCACAGCCTTGATTTCTAGCATTTGTTACTGAAGGAATCCCTATTCATAACCAAGCCTCTGGTTCTTATGAGATCCATATCCTCTGGCCCCTCTATTCAGTTTATTTTATTGAGTACTCAGCTTTCTCTCATTCCCCACAGATGGGGTTCAAACCAATATATCGCATCCTCTCACTCAATGAACACAAGTCCCAGTTGGGCTGGATATGGTGGCTAATGCCTGAGATCCTAGCACTCCGAGAGGCTAAGGCGGGAGGATTGCTTGAGCTCAGGGGTTCAACACCAGCTTGAGCAAGAATGGGACCCCATCTCTACTAAAAATAGAAAAATTAGGTATTGCCTTTTCACCCTTGGTCTTTGAGTGGGTAGTGCCCACTCAAGCCACTTCAGGCACCTATAGTCTCAGCTACTCAGGAGGCTGAGGCAGGAGGGTCGCTTGAGCCCAGGAGTTTGAGGTTGTTGTGAGCTATGATACTAGGGCACTCTACCCAGGATGACAGAGGGAGACTGTCTCAAATAAACAAACAAAATCCCAGCTATGTGCATCTAACCTAACTTTTCTCTTGCCCTCAATTTTGGTATTGCCTTTTCACCCTCAGTCTTCATCATTAGTGCCCACTTGAGCCAAAACTGTGACTATACCTCTCAAATCTCCTACTCCCATGCAAAGCCCTACTGGGTGCACCCTAATGTGTGGTTGACCTACAAACTCCCTCTCCGCTGCTGTCTACCTTGCCCATGTCACAGCAAGCCTGGGGTGTCCTCCTCCTGTCTCCCTGTTTCTCCTCCTGTTCTCTTTATCTTTTAAAAGTTAGTTCACTGATACTCATTGAATATCTACTCTGCCTCTTCCAATGCTATATCCCCATCACCCTGAACAGTGCCCAGAGTTTTGGAAGCCTCTTAGTGAATAATAAATGACTGCTAATATTTTACTGGATTTCCTACCCACATCTAAATCGTAACAGCTCCAAAGCTAAAACATTTTCTCTCCCAAAGTCTCAATTCTTATATATTTCTGTGAGACATATAGAACACACAGACATAAACCCTTGAGAGGCTTTTACTCCTCCCATGTCATTAAATCATGAAAGATTTTACTTCTGTATCTTCTCATAACCATTCACCCCCCGCCTTTTTTTTTGAGACAGCCTTACTTTGTTGCCCTTGGTACAGTGTTGTGGCATCACAGTTCACAGCAATCTCAAACTCTTGGGCTTAAGAGATTCTCTTGTCTCAGCCTCCAAAGTAGCTGGGATGCCCAGCTATTTTTAGAGATGGGGTCTTGCTCTTGCTCAGGCTGGTCTCAAAACCATGAGCTCAGGCAATCCACCCACATCGGCCTCCCCTAGTGTTGGGATTGCAGGTGTTGAGCCACCACAGCCAACCTATCCCCCCTTTTAAATTATCATTGCCTTCATTTATTACTGAATAATCATAGCAGTTTCCTAATTGAGTCTTCTGTCTATATTCTAAAACCTTAATCTTTCTAAACTGCAGGTAATAAAAAAACAACAAAATTTCTCTGCTGTTGCTGCTTCTTTTTCATACAGAGCACCTCAGCCTAGCACTCAAGGCTCTTCCTGGTCTTACTTTCCACTTGCTCACATGCCCAACGAGGGCTGTTCATTGTTCTCTGGATGAGCTGCACCCTTTTTCTTCTCATGTCTTCTAACTGCCAACCACTACAGTGTCAGGCTCATGAATGGCTCAGTGAGTGTTTACTGATGGCCTTCTTGTTGCAGTCCTGCTCATGCTGACCAGTGTACATTAAACACTTTTTTCTTCATGAAGATTTCAACTGGCCTCATCCACAAGTCTTTTTCCCTCCTTTTCTGGTCCTTATGACAAATAAACCTTCTACTGCTGTATGTTACTTGTAAATGTTTCATTCCTCAGTGAGAAATGTTTCTTTCTTTGCTTTTTTACCTATTATAGTTATCTGATACAATGACCCTCCCCTACAGTAGATATCTAATAAATATTGTTTGACTTTAATCTCTGTAATTATAATTCTAGAATTCCACTTTTTACTTCTGTATGGATTCTTTTCTTATTAAAGACAACTTCGACCATTAACATAGTAATACTTATCAGATTCCAAGTACTCAATAGTAATTGGAAAGGAAAACAGACTCTAAATATTAATGTCTCTCCCTAAACCAACTAAAGTGTTAAAATGGTCCTTGCTCTTATGAATGATCATCAAATAAGGAAGAAAAGCAAGGGTGAAGGGTTACAAAAATAATACAAAATGAAGGTTTATAAAAATAATAAAGATGTCTCACCCACCATAAATGATGAGCTTTTCAAAGCAGATTCAGCCCACAAACTACTGCACAGAAACAGGTACTGCTCAGATTAGGCAATTAGGCCCTAGTACTTGCAAAAGCTTTGTGCCTACCCTGATTCTTGGAGGCATAGGCAGAGGAGGGAATACAACTTCCCAGAGTGCCTCGTATTGTGCTGGGCGCTCATTAGGGGTAATATGTCCTTTTAGTTCAGATCCTAGAAGAGAGAAATATCCTGAGTTACTTGAAATTGAAAAGTGGGGGCGGCATCTGTTAACTCAGTGGGTAGGATGCCAGCCCCATATACTGAGGGTGGTAGGTTCAAACCCAGCCCCAGTCAAATTGCAACAAAAAAATAGCCAGGCATTATGGCAGTGCCTGTGGTCCCAAGTACTCAGGAGGCTGAGGCAAGAGAATCGCCTATGCCCAGGAGTTGGAATTTGCTGTGAGGTATGACGCCACAGCACTCCACTGAGGGCAATAAAGTGACCCTGTCTCTAAAAAAAAAAAGAAAATGAAAAACTGTGTTCACATTGCTGAGGGTGGGGAGGGGATTTCACTAAGAACTGTCCCCAGGGCTCTGCCAGGCTGTGTCTGCATAAGGCTGAGAGAGGAGTCCTGTGAATCTAACAGGATCTACGTAGGCAGGAGGGTAAGTGCTATTGATTCTGGGATAATGGGAAAGTGAAGATGGGATTTTCAAAGGAGCCACTGGGAAACAGCAGAGCAGGGGCCTCCCTGACTTTCCCACCCTTCTCCATCACCTGCCCTCAAAAAACTGCCCCGTTAGTTACTCGAGAAAGCTGGTTAGATGTCCCCTCATTTTCAGACTGCTTATTCTAACTGAAATCTCAGAGGTCCCTCCTCACTTCTTCTCATACCACCCAAAGGATTTGTAGTCTAAGAAACCAAAGAAGTGTTTCATCAATAAATCAATTTATTTAAAAGAATATGTTACAATTAATTACACTAAGTGACATTACCAAACAAATTTAGAGTGGTTAGCTCTGGAACAAGGAATGAAGGAAACACTGTCAGCCATTATGTTTCTGTGTATTTTCTCTTCACATTTCTTAATCACAAATAAAAAATACAAGATACTGCAGTGAAAATACAATTAGAGTTTCTCTCAAATAAATTAAAAGTGTGCATGGCCTGGGAAAAACTGAAGCCCAGCTCACCGGCTTAAAAGAGGGACACGATATAAAACTGGTATCCAAAGTTAGTCCCCACCCCATACACACATCACTCCCTGCTTCGATTCTGTGCCTTCCTGGAGCCCTAAGCTTCCCACACACCCTCCACCATTGCTGAGGAGCAAGCAAATGCTGCCCTGGTATAAGCAAGGCCTGACCCAAGGTGCTCAGGGTCAGGGGAAGAGGAAGACAAGAGGCAGGCTTGGAAGATGGGCAGCTAAGAAGCACACCCACTGCCTCTACTATCCCTCCCTCTCTGAGTATTCGACCATATGTATACCCTCCCTCCAAAAGGAAGCTAATGGAACACAATGAAGCTGGTGAAGAGACAGCAGAATGCTGGTGTCCAACAGACAGAATAGTTGCTTCTGCTGAATCAATCCAGCCAGGCAGCATGACGGAGAGAAGGGAGGACACAATGTCCCTCCTGGCCAACTAGGACACAATCCCCTTTAGGAACGCTGCCTCCTGTGAGCCCAGACTATACAGTGGCAAATTCTGAGATGAGAGAGAGGTGTTGCCTCCTGTCAGTGCCCAGTTTTGCTGCTCTAAGTATTGGTTTTGGAGTCGTAAGAGGGAATAACTGAAAGCTACTGGCCTGGGTAACTAAAAGATGGAACTAAATGGGCCAGGCTGTCTGTCTCTATCCTCCCTGAGAGCTCCGTCCAGGCCGAGGAGCTGCTCTGAGCACATACATGTCTGTACCTGTGCTGAGACCTAGGATGAGGGGAGGGCAGAACAAAAATATACAAAGCAGAGAGTCCAGAGTGTGGCCTGAGGGAACTTGCTGCAGGGGCAAGTTTTTCAGGGTATTTTCTCCTGATCCATAAAAACCTCAGAGATTTTGCCCCAGAGGATAGAAACCAAATGTGGAGGGAGGTCAGTGGGAGATCAGGAGGGTCCTACTGGCTCTGCTGGGGTGAAGGTGATAGCAGGGGTAACCCCCCTTTTCCAGAGACAAAATGCAAAAGAAGACTGGTTTTAAAAGCCTCCCTGGGCAGAAGCCAGGACCAAGGAGTAAGAAGGATTAGAGAGACGAAGTACACAGGAAGGGGGTGGGGGTAGGGTCACACCTAACACTGCTTCATGCAAAGAAGGGCTCGATCCTGCGGACCTCCACAGCCACAGTGACTCCTGCCTCCTTCACTGGAAGCCCACTGTAGGTGGAATAAGAGAAGGCGCTGTCCTTTAGGGTCACCCCCATCCCTATCTCCTGCTGTAGCTGAGTGTTTTGTTGGTGGGACGGCCTCAAGAAGGGCCTGTTCCAAAATAGATTCCTCCAACAGGCCAACTACCTATGGGGCCCCTCACCTGACCTCCAAGTGCCAAGTGAAACGCTATGCCAGGAAAGGACCCAGCACCATCCACCCACTCCAAGTTCACTCACTCCACATCCCCGTGTCTTGTACCCGAAGGTCAGCCTTTGGGCTTTCTCAGGAATTCCCACATTTGCTCATTCCTCTCCCACTATGAGGGAGAAGGGAAAAATTGCTATTTTTACAGTTTGAACAAAGCTGGTGCCGAAATCTTTAGTATCTTAGAGTGGGAAGAAATCAACATTTCTTCTTCTCAGGGTCCTTGGGCTCATTATTAAATTCATTTAACACCCTCCCCCCTCAAAGGAGCTAATTCCTGTTTCCTGTGTCAAAGCCTCAAATGTGGCACCACTTTCTGGCTCTGAATTCATCATGCTCACGCCTTACACTCTGCAATGATACCTGGGGAGGGATGGGGAGGGAGGCTATCTTACTTGACTCTACACCCCCAGCAAGTGGCTGCCAGGATAACAGAGCCAGAGAGAAAGAAGAGTGGCTTCACAATGATCTGCAAAAACAAGTTACAAAAACAAAACTTCAAACTACCCTACACTACTCAGTAGGGCTGCCTGCAGCCTGTCACGGCTGCCTCCCAGTCAGGCAGAGAAAAGATGTCACCCTACAAGGTTTGTGTTTAACAGGTAGAGAAGGGAAAGAGAAAAGGCTCCCTGATATGTGTCAGCTGCACCAAGCCTGACGTGGTGCTCCTCACACATTCTCCACAGAGCTGGGGCTGAGGATGCCCTGCCCTGCCAGCCCTGCCTCTGCTCCTGGCACGTCGCAGTGCTTAGATTTCAAAGGGTCTGACTGCAAGGTCAGGGGAGGAGCTCTCTGAGGGACAAAAAGGTTTTCTTTCAGTATCCTTTTAATTAAAAGTTGGAGATCAACCTAAATCAACCACATTTCTACTATTCCTTCCTGGCTCCTCAGTTGGCACAAATTGCTAACACACTCCCGGTTTCCCTGAGGCCTTGAAAACATCATCAGATTCCTCCCCAGACGGCTGTGTGAGGACGCCACAGAGAACATAAGGGTTGCAGGCAGTCGCCAGTCAGAAGCACAGCAGCAAACCCTGCGTGTACACAGGACACTGCTCTCTCCCTCTCCTTTACGTAAGTCCAACCTTTGTGCCTAAGGGACCAGCTTTAACTCTGGTCCCTAGGTCTATCCCTGCTGCAGAAAAAGCAGGAAGTGTGAATCACTACCATGAAAAGTTTCAAGTTCCTGCGGCATCAGCCTCCTGAGCCCACCCTCAACGCCGCCAGGGCCAGGTGAGGGAAAGCACACAAGGGCCCTTGGGAAGCAGGAAGGAGATGCAGAATGTGGTCGGAAAGCCACGAGGGGGGACAGAGGTGGATCAGAAAAATTTCCTGGAATCAAGAGACACACCAAGTCTTTAGGCTCTCCCTGCAAAACCACAGCCATGCTACCCTTGAGAAACACACACCTCTTTCTCCTCCCCAGCACCCTCTTGGATGATAAGAAACTATACTTCTTGTTCCTCAGACTCTCTGGGAACCCATGAGCCGGAATCTGTACTCAATACAAAAAAGGCGGGGGGGAAACCCAAGCAGGTTGTAAACTTTTCGAGTCCTTCAGGAGGAGAGGTATTTTCCCTATAAAATGTTTTTTTTTTTCTTTTTAACATTTGTTTCAAAATAAAGAGAGCAAGAGAGAGGTCATGAATTCTAGTGAAAGGTGTGTAAAAACACAAGCTAAAAAAGGTACTGCCATCATTATGAAATTTAAAAAGAAATATATATATATGTATATAATACGTGCAGCTAATTTGTGTATATATAATTTTTTACATACATACATATATATGTCTGAACAGTGCAAATGGATGAAGTTCATAGTTCCAGTTTTAAAAATATAGTACAAGGAGAGAGAGTCTGTTGGTATGAGGCCCAGGTGAAAGAACAAGTCGGGTGGGCTCACTTCTTTCCTGTCTCAACTCAGCTGACTTCTGTAGCTGACCATTTTATTCTTGCCCAGCTCAATTCCAGAAATGTGAAATGCAGAGGGGCTATTAATAAGATTTAGTTTAGGGCTTTTGAATATAAGGACTTTTTTCTTTTTCTCTTCTTTTGTGTTAATGATTACTCTGACATGGGAGATGAAAAGGATGAGGGGATGAGGGGGAAGGGAAGGGAAGGGGATAGGGAAAGGCTAGGTGGCCACATCCCTCTGCTGTGACCTCGCCATCTGGAAAATGTTCTGAAATGAAGAAAAGAAAAGAGTTATTGGGAAGCCACATCTCCTCCCATCTGGAGACAACCCCTCAAACAAAAGCTAAAAAGGAACAACTGGATGGCTCACTCTGACGGGCCTTGACCCCTGACATAACTTCCCATTAGAATCATGGCCTTTCAGAGCCCGAACGGACTTCGCATATTAATTATCTGGATCAGCCTCCCTGTTTTACAGAAGAGAAGGCTGAGACCCAGGGAGGCTGCTTTACCCAGAGTTGCACAGAGGGGGTAAAAACCAGGAGAAAACTAGGTAAAATTCCCAGAACCAATATTCTTTCTACTACACTAAAAATATAAATTTTCATGTTTCTGACTTGACTGCCTGATCTTCTGAAAGAGTTTCTTTGAGGGTAAATAGCTAATTATTCAAAATCTCCCAAACATGCTCCAGCACAGCACACACAGACAGCAGGACAAAGCAGTAGAAAGACTTTCCCCACACACACATTCCTGGTTAGCCTAGAAAGACTCTGTCATGTCCAGTCAGATGACTAAACTGAGGACAGCTGCCCTTGTGGGTCGGGAACAACATGGAAGGTGATTTGATTTTAAAAACTGGCAGAGGAGGGTCCATGGAGCCATGGGAGATGGAGGAGCCTGTAGCAGTGTCCACCCTCTAGACAAGGGAAGAAGCAGGGCTTTTTTGCACAGCCCGTTCACCATCCAGAGGCCAACCTCGCTGGAAGAATGTCCTGGCTCACATGAGATAATCAGTCTCTAACTAATATTCCTAGAAAGACAGAGATGAAGGTGAGGGTCCCAGGTATTTGGCCACAGGTCTATACATTTTCAACAAACAGAAAGATGAAAAAGTCCACTCAACACTTGTTTAGAATTACCTCTTTTCTCCACTTGAGCTCGCAGAACACTCTCTCGAAGCATTCATGCATGTAATTGAACTGAAAAAGAAGCAGCAACACTCAGGGACTAACTCCCCAAGGCTGGGCACCACAGGGCCATGCCTCTGAACCCCTGCCCCCAGCACCTGCCATCTCCCAAACTCACTCAAGGTAAAGAAAAACCCTGACAAGTGCCACCAAAAAAAAAAAAAAAAAAAAAAAATCCAGGCCAGGCTGGTCTCCTAGTCTCTAGCTCCTTCTAGTGGTAACCATGAGTCAAACTGGCTGTGAAATTGCCAATCCTACTCAGGCCTAAAGGAAAGACAGGCCCAAAGGACAAACCTGGGTTATACAATTCACACAGGTTCAGATCCATCTGCGTCTCTCTTCATTTATTCATTTACCTTAAAGAAAGCTTTAAGCCTGGTCTACTTTCCCCAAGTATGCTTCCCCATCTCCCACTCACATATGGTGTGAAGATTTTAACCCATCGGGGTTTCTTCTCTCCTCGTGCATACTCAAAACAGAAGGCCATCCCTTCTTCATCTGTGTCCCATCGCTGCATCTCATCCCATTCAAATGCTATTACCTGGTTCTGGACAACCAAGAACAAAAGAGTGAGGTCTATAGCAGCCCAAGTTTGAGTGTGTTAGGGAACTGAGGTCAGCAGACTGTGAACCAGGCAACAGAAGAGAATAGAGATGTCTGTGTCACCTTAGGGAAAGGACTGTGACAAAAGAATAAAAGTCAGAGGGAATGGCCAGTGATGAATCATATGGATTCAGTGCCCATTTACCTGCCCCAATTAAAACACAATTTTGATTGCATTTCCTCCCCCAAAAGGAATTAAAACAAAGCAAGCAAGTATCAAAGTGTCCCCAGTGCATAGCCTAAGCTCCACGCAGGATCCTCACCTCTAGCAGGCCCTCCTCGGTGCAGGCGTGCAGTTTAAAGTGCGTGATGCTAATGGCTGTGATAACGTGGCCCTTCCTCCTGGAGTCACAGGCACAGTGGGGGAAGATGATTTCATTGTATCCTTCACAAGTCCTTAGCATGTTGAGGTACTAGGGAAAAAGGAAGGGGAAACAGCATTACTGTGAGACCAAATACAGGGAAGGGCTGCTGTGATGGCAGGAGAGGAGGAGCAGAGAACGTTCTCACCCGGCACCCTGAAGGCCTGGCTCCTGGTGTCACCCCACCCTATGTTGAGTCCTGACTCAGAGACAATCCTTTATCCCACTTCTAACTTCTGCCTTCATACCCAGAACTCCTCTTTTTCTACTTAAAAGAGATACACAGGGCTCGGCGCCTATAGCTCAACCGGCTAAGGCGCCAGCCACGTACACCTAAGGTGGCGGGTTCGAATCCCCAGCCCGGACCCGCCAAACAACGATGGCTGCAACCAAAAAAAAAAAATAGCCGGGCGTTGTGGCGGGCGCCTGTGGTCCCAGCTACTTGGGAGGCGGAGGCAGGAGACTCGCTTGAGCCCAGGAGTTGGAGGTTGCTGTGAGCTGTAATGCCACGGCACTCTGCCCAGGGGACCAGCGAGACGCTCTCTCAAAAAAAAAAAAAAAAAAAAACACAGGCCAGGCATGCTGTAATCCTAGCACTCCTAGCACTCTGGGAGGCCAATGTGGGTGGATCACCTGAGCTTAGGAGCTCGAGACTACCTGGGTAAAAGAGAGATCCCATCTCTACTAAAAATAGAAAAACTAGCTGGGCATAATGGTAGCAGGTGCCTGTAGTCCCAGCTACTCAGGAGGCTAAGGCAAGGGAATCGCCTGAGCCCAAGAGTCTGAGGTTGCTGTGAGCTATGACACCACAACATTCTACCCAGGACAACAGAGTGAGACTCTGTTTCAACAAACAAACAAACAAAAAAAAGATACACAAATTAAAACCAGAAGAAACACTACAACCAGGACTCACAGGGCTAGAAAGGAACTCACAATGCTATTTAGTCCATCTTCTATTTTCTTTGTACCCAAGGGATGGGAATCTAAGCTGTCCTTATCTTTATAATTAAGAAAGAGAGTGGCTGTGGCTCAAAGGAGTAAGGCGCCGGCCCCATATGCTGGAGGTGGCAGGTTCAAACCCAGCCCCGGCCAAAAAAAATAACTGCAAAAAAAGAAAAGAAAGAGAGTTAATATTTCTCCCTATCTCTTCTTCAACCAAAAGTTACAATGACCTCAGTGATAAAGATTAAGCTATCCCAAATCTCATAATCATAAAATATTAAAAGTGAAAGAGATGGGCGGCGCCTGTGGCTCAAAGGAGTAGGGCACCAGCCCCATATACCAGAGGTGGCAGGCTCAGACCCAGCCCTGGCCAAAAACTGGAAAAAAAAAAAAAAAAAGTGAAACAGATTTTGAGACCTAGTTGTTTTACAAGAACTCAGAATAAGATAAGACCTAAGGTCATAGGCAGTAAGCAGCCCAACAAGGATCAAAACCCAGGTTTAATTTTTAGGCCTCTGCTCCCTCCACTATCACCAACTAGCCCCCAGATCAGCCCCACTGACCCCTGGTCTCCCATGTATGTGCCTCCTTAAAAACCACCTGGACCCAAATTAAGTGACATGTGTGACTCTCACAGTTCCAGGGTCATAAGACCAATTTAGATGTCTCTGAACTACTGCAGCAGACTCAGCTCCCTACTTTGAGTTGAGAGGAGAAAGGGTGGAAGAAGATAAGTGGAAAGACAGTAAAAGAGAAATATGGAAAGGCAGATAGAGAGGGGCAGGGTGATAAGAGCCACAGACTGTGCCCTGGTTTCCTCTCAGGGCTTGCCTGGAAAACAAGCAAAGAGCCTGAGCTTCCAATTCCAAGTCACACAGGTGACATGCACAGAGTGTTAGAGGGAAAACAAAAGCACAGCACCCTCATCTCCCAGTGTCCCAGAAAGGCAGAGACATTAGAATACTCTGGAGAGTTGCCCACTGCCTCACCAAGAGAGAAAAGAAAAACAGGCAAAGGCACAAATAGGACACAGGCCACTTATAGCTCTGGTACTGCAGAACGGCGTTTAACCACTGCTACTGCCACTAGGGACTATCTGAGAAGACTCAAGGGCTCAAGGAAAGATCACACTACACACCCCATTCCCTACTTCGTGTTTCCACTTAGGTAAAATAATAGCAACTTTGGGGCGGCGCCTGTGGCTCAAAGGAGTAGGGTGCTGGCCCCATATGCCGGAGGTGGCGGGTTCAAACCCAGCCCTGGCCAAAAACAGGGAAAAAATAATAACAACAGCAACTTTGAAGGTGAAAAATTATAAAAGGATAACAAGAATACAGTGACAGGGTAAATTTAGAAGTGCCATAATACTTCCATCACACCACTTTTCACCTCTCATTTCTGCCTCCTATCATCCTACTCCACATCCCCACACTTCCTTCTTACTATTTTTGTTGTTGTTCTTGGGTTGATTTTGGAGACAGAGTCTTGCTCTATTACCTAGACTGGAGTGCTGTGGCAAATCATTACAGCTGACTGCAATCTCAAACTCCTGAGCTCAAGAGATCCTCCTGCCTCAGCCTCCTGAATAGCTGGGATGAAAGGAGTCCACCACAACACCAGCTAGTTTTTCTGTTTTTTGTAGAGATTAGTTTTGCTCTTGCTCAGGCTGGTCTTCAGCTCCTGACTTCATCCAATCCTGCCTAACCCAGCCCCATTTTTACTATCCTCCCAATACCAACAAGAAACATGGATACTACTTGATCCTGCTGCTGGCATTATAAACAAAAAGAAATTCCTGACTGCTATGCTGTGGTAAACATGGCAGGGCTGGGTGATCGGAATAGGAGAAAACTCTTCTGAGGTTATAAGTAATGGCAAAGCTTGGGACAGAGAGCAGCATACAGACGTGTAAGAGGCCCAGACTACCCGGAGCGTGAATCCTGGCCACACTGTTTCCTAACTGCAACCTGCAGCCAGTCACTTAAACTCAGGCAAATCACTTAATTCTAGGAGCTTTAGCTCCCTCTTCTGCAAATGAGAAATAATAATAGCACCTTCATCATGTGCTATTTGTGAGCATTAAGTAGAAAGTATTTGACATAGTACTTGGTACATAATGAAGCACTTAATCAATGATAGCTAAATGTTTTTTCTCAAGGCTCCATTATCCTTAGCCAGAGAAGAAGCTATTTTCTCTTTCAAGAATCCTCTGTTTTTTGAAATTATCTTCTATTTTTATTTATAAATATTAGTAGCCTATTTTTTGAGACTTTAGGGGAAAAATACTCAGAAGTTAACTGATGCCTCCATACTAAACCTCAGAGTCAAAGCATTCTATGCTAGACATACTCTTATCTGATAATCTAAATGTTACTTTTTTGCATCATTATTATTATTGCTCAATATTTTGTTGCAGCAATTGTCTGATTTCTTTTTCTGAATATATTTGTTTATTCTTTTTTTTTTTCTTTTTTTTTGAGACAGAGCCTCAAGCTGTCCCCCTGGGTAGAGTGCCGTGGCATCACTGCTCACAGCAACCTCCAACTCCTGGGATTAAGCGAGTCTCCTGCCTCCCCCTCCCAAGTAGCTGGAACCACAGGCACCAGCCACAACGCCCGGCTATTTTTTGGTTGCAGCCGTCATTGTTGTTTGGCAGGTCCGGGCTGGATTCGAACCCACCACCTTAGGTGTACGTGGCTGGCGCCTTAGCCACTTGAGCCACAGGCGCTGAGCCTCTTTGTTTATTCTTTATGAGGTTTTTGTTTCTAGTCCTTATCTTAAATATTGTTATTGTTATTAAATTTTAAGCCTGTTTAATTTTGTGAAGGCAAAATGTGGAAACCAAATAAACACATGTATATGTGTAGAGAAAATAAAAATAATAAAAAAAAAGAATCCTATGTAAAGGCCTCCTGACGTTTTCTTTGTTGTGACAATGGGGACTGCTGGACATCTAGGGTGAACATATCTTGTTCTGTAAGCCCGTATCTTGCTGTGCTCGGCAGCCTGCATCTCGCTGTGGCCACTAAGCCTGCATCTTGCCGTGCTTTGTAAGCCTGCATCTTGCAGTGCCCAGTAAGCCTGCATCTCGCCGTGGCCGCTAAGCCTGCATCTCGTGGTGCCCAGTAAGCCTGCATCTCGTGGTGCCCAGTAAGCCTGCATCTCGTGGTGCCCAGTAAGCCTGTATCTTGCCGTGCTTTGTAAGCCTGCTTCTTGCAGTGCCCAGTAAGCCTGCATCTCGCGGTGCCTTGCAGTGCCCAGTAAGCCTGCATCTCGTGGTGCCCGGTAAGCCTGTATCTTGCCATGCCCAGTAAGCCTGTATCTTGTGTGCCCAGTAAGCCTGCATCTCGTGGTGCTCAGTAAGCCTGTATCTTGTGTGCCCAGTAAGCCTGTATCTTGTGTGCCCTGTAAGACTGTATCTTGTGTACCCAGTAAGCTTGTATCTTGTGTGACCTGTAAGCCTGTATCTTGCGTGCCCTGTAAGCCTGTATCTTGCGTGCCCTGTAAGCCTGTATCTTGCGTGCCCTGTAAGCCTGTATCTTGCGTGCCCTGTAAGCCTGTATCTTGCGTACCCTGTAAGCCTGTATCTTGCGTGCCCTGTAAGCCTGTACCTTGTCTGCTCTATAAGCCTGTATCTTGCCGTGCCCAGTAAGCCTGTATCTTGCGTGCCCTGTAAGCCTGTATCTTGTGTGCCCTGTAAGCCTGTATCTTGTGTGCCCTATAAGCCTGTATCTTGCGTGCCCTGTAAGCCTGTATCTTGCGTGCCCAGTAAGCCTGTATCTTGTGTGCCCAGTATTCCTGTATCTTGCGTGCCCTGTAAGCTTGTATCTTGCGTGCCCTGTAAGCCTATATCTTGCGTGCCCAGTAAGCCTGTATCTTGCGTGCCCTATAAGCTTGTATCTTGTGTGCCCTGTAAGCCTGTATCTTGTGTGCCCTGTAAGCCTGTATCTTGTGTGCCCTGTAAGCCTGTATCTTGCGTGTCCTGTAAGCCTGTATCTTGCGTGCCCAGTAAGCCTGTATCTTGTGTGCCCAGTAAGCCTGTATCTTGCGTGCCCTGTAAGCCTGTATCTTGCGTGCCCTGTAAGCCTGTATCTTGCGTGCCCTGT